AAACTAATAAAGAAGTAAATTAAAACCACTTACAACTTTATCACCCGAAGAAAACTATTAAAATTTGGTACACAGCCTTCTAATCTCATCTTTGGCAATGGTTCTCAAACTTCTTGATCTCATAACACCTTTATAAATTTGAAAGATCAATAAGGATCCCCAAAGGACTTCTGTTTTTATGGATTATACGTATTGATATTTACTGTATTAGAAATTCATATAAAACATTTTAAAATATGTATTTATTTTAAATAACAATAAGCCCATTACATATTAGCACAAATAACATGATTTTTTGAAAAATGATATTTTTCCAAAACAGGGTTGAACTGTTTTATATTCTTTCAGCTATCTTTAAAACCTGACATAATAGAAAATAAATGAATTATCATATACATTCCATTAGCTTCAGATCAATGATATCTTAGGCTCCTGCCTGCCCCTCTATCTTCCTTCCACAGGTTCCCCTCACCACCTTTGGAAAACTACCCTGTGATAAACACACAAAGGGACACGTGGGTGGGGGTGCTGGGAGGGTGGGGCAGTTCACTGTATTGTTGCTATCACAGTGCCCAACACACAATCGATGCTTAATAAAATTGTTCAATGAGTAAATAAAATACACATTTTTAACTTAAAAATACTTTGTTACTCACTTTTTCACTTCATTTTTTGCAATATGCATGCCTTTGACACAAGCAGCTTTAACTCTGCAGCTCAAGTGGAAGTTTTTAGCATTGAGGCATTCAGATATTCAAGCTGGAAACAGCAAGTGTGTGTTGGAAAAAAATCTATGAAAAGAACATGTAATTAATTTTAAGAAATCTCCAGCCGGGCACGGTGGCTCAAGCCTGTAATCCCAGCACTTTAGGAGGTGAGGCTGGTGGATCATGAGGCCAGGAGATCAAGACCATCCTGGCTAACACAGTGAAGCCCCATCTCTACTAAAAATACAAAACCTTAGCCATGCGTGATGGTACGCGCCTGTAGTCCCATCTCCTCAGGAGGCTGAGGCACGGGAATGGCTTGAACTCGGGAGGAAGAGGTTGCAGTGAGTCAAGATCACACCACTGCACACCAGCCTGGGTAACAGTGAGACTCCCTCTCAAAAAAAAAAAAAAAGAAAAAGAAATCTCCAGCTAAGCTGGCTCACTTCTGTAATCCTAGCACTTTGGGAGGCCAAGGCAGGTGGATCACGAGGTCAAGACATTGAGACCATCTTGGCTAACATGGTGGAACTGTGGGCTTAAGGCGAGTAGATGGTTTGAGCCCAGGTATTTGAAACCCTGTCTCTACAAAAAATACAAAATATTAGTTTGCATGGTGGTACACACCTAATAGTCCCAGCTACCTGGGCTAAGATGGGAAGATCACCTGAGCTCAGGAAGTTGAAACTACAGTGAGCCATGACTGCACCACTGCATTCCAGCCTGAGCAACAGAGTGAGACCCTGTCTCAAAAAAAAAAAGAGAAAAGAAAGCAAAGAAGGAAAACATCTCCAACTAGTACCCAGGAAACACAAGCAGTCTAATACTTCATCAGATTGGTGTGCTCTAATTTATTTTCTAAGTTCTCTATTCTCTGTTGATGAATACTTAAGATTGTTGTGATTTTAAAAAATTTTCACTTGTATATATAGTATTGCTCTAGTATCTTTCTACTTCCGTGCACTCCTATCCCCTTCAGATGTGAAACTATCAATAGCATCAAACTGCGTGTATTCATCATTGTTAAGCAGGCCTCCAGATGACATTGTATCAATTTTGGTGAATTTTAAAAATTTCTCTTATGTTTAAGACAAACATTGGCAAATTTTGCACACTGACCCAATCAAACTTTTTAAATTTTATTCATTAAATGCGTTAGATGGCATTTAGAATGAGGAAGGAGGCTTGTGGGCAGATCATTTTTCTGAGGATAAGGGAAGAAATGGCTTTCGGGACTGTGCCATTACCTCACTCTCCCAAGCAGTAAGAAGCAGAATTTCCAAAATCCTTTTCAAAGAGAGATTAGAATTTTCTGAAGAGAGACACAATAGGTGACAGTGTTATTTTCACATCTTCTTCAATACACCAAGGCAGTAAAAGAGGAAGCATTAGCACCTGAGGAAACTTCACTGATATAGAAGTCTACATTAAATCATCAAAGCTCTCTGCAGAGTTAACACCTGCAGTTAGAGATCTCAGCAGAAGAAAAGTCTGTCAAGTCAGTGCACAGATAATCGAAAAGTCATGACAGGTAGTATTTGGGACTGTGTGATTTTGACACATTTAACAATATATGTCTTTATTTATTTAGCGATATAATCATTCTGTATGCTTTCTGCCTCCCTCAGCCAGTCCCATAGAAAACTATAAAAGTAAGAAGAACATTTATGTCTAAAACATTAATTACAAGATTTGGGGTACATTTTAAAGTGTTGTTTTGAAAATTATGTCATTGTAAAGAATATTATACTGTAATCACTTCTAGAACTTTGGAGATTTTTTTCTTATAGCTCTTTATAATTTATCTTAATGATTCAAAGAAATATGACCTAATGTTCACTGGAGAAAGCTGTTGCTATTAGCAAATGTGATTTTGTTTTTTGTTTTTTGTTTTTTTTTGAAAAATCTTCCCTGTTTTTTAGGGAAATAGCTCTGCAGTCCTCAGTAATATCCCGATCAAATGAAATGGTTATAGTTGGCTAGAAATTTATAGGGAAAAAGTTTATGTTCTGTTGGAGACTACCGTAGTCCGATTGTTAGAAGTCTTCAGAACCTGCTAGTGTTCCCACTTCCCACCTGGATGCATCCAGCCTACCCATGTGCAGGTGTTCACGTGCATACACACAGTTCTTTAAAGTCCTGTCCGGCCGGGCGCGGTGGCTCAAGCCTGTAATCCCAGCACTTTGGGAGGCCGAGGTGGGAGGGTCACAAGGTCAAGAGATCGAGACCATCCTGGTCAACATGGTGAAACCCCGTCTCTACTAAGAATACAAAAAATTAGCTGGGCATGGTGGCACGTGCCTGTAATCCCAGCTACTCAGGAGGCTGAGGCAGGAGAATTGCCTGAACCCAGGAGGCGGAGGTTGCGGTGAGCCAAGATCGCACCATTGCACTCCAGCCTGGGTAACAAGAGCAAACCTCGGTCTCAAAAAAAAAAAAAAAAAAAAAAAAAAGACTTGTCCTTCCCCGAGTCCTACTTCCTCCATTCTTCCTTAGACCATGTTTCACTGGGATGTTGTGCTATGTGGGCTGAGGGTCATTCCCAAACCTGCCCTCCTAGCAAGCTTTCTGAAAGTACAGCCTGAGGCTCACCTCTAATGAAACAGATTGGAGGCAGGTCCAGAATTTTTCTCTCTGTGCTTTCCAATCCAGATGATCTTTGAACCCCAGTTTAAATGGCTGGGCCTCATTCTGGAAGTGTAGAATTAAGACCCAGGGTTGAGCCAACAGGGAAATGAAATTATAATGTAATGCTGCTGCATGGCAGAGCTGTAGATGCAAATATTGCTGATGCTGCTTTGCGGGTATAGGGCTGGGACCCCAAGGAGGAGAGATAAGGTGCCCATTTTCTCATTCATTTAGTTAACATTTACTGAGTTATTACCAAGCAACAGACATTGTTAGTGGGATTGCATGCTAGCTAGGGGAGAAGATAAAAATATCAGCAATAGTAACAAAATACCAGATACTAACACCATGCAGACTTGAAGCGGGAAGATGTGATAGTTACCTGGGCAACTATTTCAGAGAGTATGATTAGAGAAGGCTTGGCCTGCAGCAAAACTCTTGAAATTGAAGGTGAACCTGAAGTACATGGCCATGTGAAGATCAAGAGGAAAACATCCCAGGGCATGGCCGTAGCCGGCCTGAGGTGGGAGTGAGTTTGGCATGTTCGAAAGAGGGCCACTGTGACTGGAGTAGAGTGGGAGAGCAGAGGTGGGGACACAGAAGCAGGGACACAAAGAGGCAGGGGCCAAAGTAGGAAGCCAGTTGAAAGGTTGTCAGGGAAGTAACATGATCTGACGGGCATTTTAAAGCTGCCCTCTGGCTGCTCTGTAGATAATGGATTGTAAGGGAATAAAAGAAGAAGACTATAGAGGTTCTAGGAAGCTAAGAAGTCATTCCGCCAACTAGGTTGGAAATGCTACTGTCTTGGACTCTGGCTGTGGAAGAGGCGGTAAGTGCGTGCAGTTGGGATCACTTGCAAGTCTTACCAAGGTCATTGAATGTTGCAGATTAAAGGAGACTTGCCTGGTGCTTCGATGAGCAGCCTCAGACGATGCCTTTTCAGTGTTTGCTCAAATATTTTTGGATCATATCTCATATGTAACTCCTAAATTCTGGCTTCACTCGAAAAATAAGAAGAGTATCTGACTACATTTTGCACGAATTTGCATATAGTGACAGAGCTTGGGAGCTGAGTGGTTGGCCTCTCTTTTTAAGAATGGGTGTACTCCGGTTTGCAAAGCCTCCACCTGTCCCCATCTTCCTGACAGTGAAGCTGTAGTTGGTTGTGATTTATCATCCGCGTATCCCGTGATTTTCCCTGTATTATGCCTCATCAACTTACTTGCCATATTCTTTAAGCCTTTTAATTTTTAGATCTCACCTCAGATAGCCTGAACATGAAAGTGGAAAAAAAAAAGCTTTGGGGCACCTAGTAACCTTGGTTCCTATACCGCTGTAAAACAGCCTGTTTGGCAGCTTATTAAACAATTAAATAAAATCAGGCTTTAAAAGCAACCTATGTTGTTATCAGCCAAGGGATACCCTGGAGCACATTTCCTAGAAACACAAGAAGGGTTTCTAGTGTGCTAATTATCCTGGATTTCTTGATCTGGTAACATGACTGTGTTCAGTGGAAAAAGCACCAATGTACACTTATATGTGCACTTCATGTACGTTATGTTCCAATTACAAGTACAAATTAATAGTATTCTTTAAGAGTAGTTTTAAATATAGATGTACTTAGGTTGAGTGTTGAGGTTTTGACAAATTGTCGTGTTCTTTCAGCCAAGCCAAAGCCATGTATTCCTGTAAAGCAGAGCATAGCCATGAGCTTTCCTTCCCACAAGGAGCGATATTTTCTAATGGTAAGTGCATCAGTTCCCTCTGCTTAAGTTTGTCATCATGGGGAGGATGAAGGAATAGTATGATGGTATGAGTCTAAAGTAGAAGCCAGAAGCCTCAGATGCTATCCCAGGTCCTGCTTCTCATGATGGACATGCATGAACACATCAAATCCTTCTGGGTGGCATGCACCTGTAGTCGCAGCTGCTTAAGAGGGCAAGCCACATACGTACGTACATACATACATACATACAAATTTTTAAATTCCCTTTGGATTCATTCCTCTCCTGCAGGCACTTGTGTGTATGTGCCTGTTTGTAGAAGTGAGAGAGATTGTTTTATTTGACTATGTGAATGCAAAGCACATTCCAACTTTAAAGGGCTGTGACATTGTTTTGTTTGGACAATTTGAGTTTAGTGTATAGTTGGCCCTCTGTATCCAGGGGTTCTGCATGCACAATTTAACCAGCCATGGATCAAAACGTTGGAAAATAAATAATAATGTAAATTTTAAAAATATATAGTATTACAACTATTTGCATAGTATGTAGATTGTAAAATGTATTACAAGTAATCTAGAAATGATTTAAAGCATACAGGAGGATGTCCCTAGGGTATATGCAAATATTACATCATTTTATATCAGGGATGTGAGCAAGCACAGGTTTTGGTATCCACAAGGGGTCCTGGAAACAATCCCCCACAGATACCCAGGACTGACTGTGCTGAACACCCACTTGTTGCTATAATTATTTGACACTAATGTTGACTGAGTGCTATTTATTTATTTTGCCAGTGTACCCATCAGTGGAACCAGGATGGTTAAAGGCAACTTATGAAGGCAAAACGGGACTAGTTCCAGAAAATTATGTTGTCTTCCTCTAATACTATTTAGTGGATGGCAGTATCTTCATGGTATCCATGGTAACGAATAATAAGTGCTATGATTTTATCTGACACAGATACACGGGGATCAGCCCACTAAGTGAAAACAGTCAATTTCCATCACTTTCTTCACCAGCAGACTATGTAGCTCCTTATTAATGGAAAAAAAAAGGTTTAAATTGTTGGCCATTCTTTTTTGGTTGGTTTCTTATTTTAAAACATCTTGCTTCTGAAAAATTTATTTTTGGATACTATGCAACTCTCCAGTGTCTCTTCCATAACAATTATATTTCCAATACTGTATTAAATACTATATCCCAGAAATTTGGAAACCAGAAACCTGCTACATGGATTTTGAGATCTGTCCTTTACTGCCTGGTATTCTCTCAGAATCTCTGAAATTGTTACTTAAAAATGTAATTTAAATTGTTTAGTCATTATTTTTTTTCTTAGAAAGATACTGCTTTTATATATGATTGTTTTGCTGGTCCTAAACATTTCAAGGATGTAAGTCTTTATTTTAATATAACTTTATTTGTTTTCCAATTAGATGATATTATTCAAAAGCAATAATGTATATGATATCTATAAAGGAAGCAAAATTAAGTCATACACTGATTCCACTGTAAACAGTATGTCCAGAATTCCAGACATCTTCTGTGGATTTAGTATAGGGATCAGCAAACCTTTTCTATTTTCTATAAAGGCCTGATAGCAAATATTTTTGTGGCGGGCTAGATTTGGCTCATGGGTTATAGTTTGCTGACCCCTAGTTTAGAGGATATGTAAAACTATCTTCATAACTTTGCAATTCTTATAAAATCTTACACTAAAATATAAATACTGATGAATTATATGCACGTATTCTCTACCAATAGCATTATAGTGACATCATAGAAGAATATTTAAAATGGGAAAACAGTAAAACTACAGTATCCAGGCATAGAACTTAAATTCCATCTGGAAGATTGTAAAGTGTCAAAGTATTTTGATGTTAATTTAATTTGGGCTTTTGAAATGTTCTTCTACGAATAAAAAAGATGTTTGAAAATGTTACGGGGAAGCTATGTCCTCTGAAATCTATCTTTAGTTGAAACAGAAAATAAACACAAAGGTACAAGATCCTTAAATTACTTTGAACCACAGAAGTTGAAATTGTTTTATGATCTTTAGCAGAAATAAAATCTGTACATTATTTCCTTTTATGTCTTTTAGTTTACAGCCTTTATTAGGAATTTCCGTGAATTTGTACAGCATAGTAATAGGTATTTACTGTCCACTTATATATATATCATCAGCATCTGGTCATGCATGAACCATTAATTCTATATTTCTATTTCAATAATTCTAATATATTATTTCTATAAATATATCTATATGTGGCAAAGAGCCTTTCTTCTCAAGATCCTGAAAAGCTGGTTATCTGCCCTTTGAGTGCCACAGTCCTGACCTGCTTGTTCTTGACATCTTACGTATTACTTCAGAGTGCCCCACTGTGTAGACACTCAGGTATTAACTGTACAAAACTCTTTACACACTATTACAATCTGTAGTCTCAATCTCTTTTACTTTAATGTTTCTAGAATTAATAGGTTAAATACACATATACACACACAACTATGCCTCAGAAAAGTTATGCTTTTACAAATTAAAAGAATAGATTAGAATTGACAAGTAGAATAATAGTAAACAGAGTCAGAATTAGGAATCAATGTCAGTGAATCAAAAGAAGGAAAAATATTCTGTAATAGAAACTAGCAGTGCAATGTAAAAGTCTGATGAAAGATTATCTTTTTCTTTTACCTCTTACTGTTGATCTCTGCACACTGTAATAAGGTGTTGCTGGATCTTCGTGGTGTAGGTCCTTGGTGACCCTTGGTCTTAATAACAGCATTGCTGACACCCTGATTACCCTCTGCTGGAACAGAAGGTAGTTTACCAACGTACTAGTCCCTTAGTCTACACAGCACCCTTGGTTTAAGCACGCTTACCATCATCTGGCATCCTGCTATGTTAGAACCTCTTAAAAGCAAATTGGTTTTCTTTCAAAGACCAACTTGACTCCAAAGAGAGATTCAGAATCCTACACTTCTCCCACTGGTACATAAAGAAATCTCAACCTTCAACCATTATTTTATTTGAACACAGAACAAAGTGTTCTTGCCTCTGAGTTGTCTGTGAGCTAATTCTACAGGTGTTCCATTCAGATTTAAAGCTTTTTTACTGCATAGGATGTGGACATGATGCCTAACTCTTGTATCTGATGACAAGGCATGTGTTGTAGCCACAGTACTGGCTATGGTCCCTTAGCTGAAACAAGCTACAAAGGCACAGATTCAAACTGCTTGTGCTTGAAGTTTTAATCTTGTAGATTTGTGAGGACGGCTCTTTTTTCTTCATAATGGATTACAAATGTAAGCAAGCCATGGCCACATACTGGACACAGGCTAAAGCTGCCTTTCCCTTAAAGTAAGTCTCCTACAGATATTTATGAGCATTTGAGAAGTCAGGACATGTACTGTAAATCACACAGCATGTTAATTACACAGGAAGGCAATGCCAGACGCTGGAAGAGGATCACATTCAACTTCTAATAGTATTTCAATAACAAAATCTTAGCTTTTCAAAAACAATGTGAAGATACATTAGAATTGCCACATTCCTACCTTCAAAACATGCAACCTCTGCACCCTAATCACTGCTTACAGTATAATCAGTATGACGATGAGATTGAAGGGTCTAAGTTTAACTTCATCATCTCTTGTGTTTTGTGAAAATAACAAAACATTTGTATATTTCACAGATGACTCTTTTGTTTTGCCATAACTCTACCGAGTTTATGGAAACTAGTCAACTGAAGGATTTTTTTGTTGTGTTATGTATAAATGTCTGAACAGTAAAATCATCTTTGTATTCCTGTAATGTTCATGAAGTATGAGGAAATCCATTTCTCCTTGTTTGATGTGAGTGGTTTTACTTGTTGAATGGGTTCCCTGTGCTTTGTAATGTGCATGGAAATAACCAGGTTTCTCAACAATGATTTGTCTGCTGGCTCTTATCAGAGATAGTGGAGGGAAAAAAATGTACTTTAAAACCCCAAATTATCTAGGTTTCCAAGTAGGAAAAATAAAGATACATATGACTTTTATTCTTATTTTATCATCATTAGATATACAGAATGTGGCATGCTTTATAAAAATTCACCATGCTGTGAGGCAAACAGATTTCTTACTCCAGTCCTGTGCACCCCGCTCACCTTCTCACTCCTAGAACCATTCTTCTGGTCCCTGTTGAAAGGGTGCCATTCATGTGGTTTCAGTTTAGAGGAGTCCCTCAGAGCTTTACCTCAAGCAATTTCAAAATACCTTCATTATGTATTCAGGTTGCCTTCTTTAGCATTTGGAACCCCAACTAGACTTACACTTTGACTAAATTCAGAGGCCGAGCAATTTAGGGAACAGATTTTGTTCTTTGGTTTTATGATACATTTGTAATTCACATCTATTAGCATGACCTCACATCACTGCATAGGACCCTGAAATCATATCTCTCGGTCAGGTCACGAAAAACAGCAGAGTCTTGACTGTTGTCCAGAAGTTTCTTTCCTCCTGTCCAAAGGTTTCCCCTTAGAGTAGACATTGCTATTTAACTTTGCCTCCTACCCTTTTTTATTACCTTCCAAAATCAAAACACTTAAAAAAAAAAAAACAACAAAGAAAGAAAACTTTTCTGAACAGTCTGTGTCCTGCCTGTCTCCTGTTGATTCACAGACGCCGTATCAGGTATTCATCAACTAGCCTCAGTTTCCTGAACACATTCTCTGTATCCCTCGTTGTCACCATTATCTCCCTGCTTCAAAATGTGCTGGTTCCACTTAGTAATAACCTTGGGAAAACTCAGGTTTATGAATGATGTGAACTTTTAGAGGATCAAATCAGTAAATTGGATTTTGTTTTTCTTGAGGGCAGCTGTACTCACTGTTTTAAATAGAGTCTAGATAAGAATGTTGACAGCATGCACAGTAAGCCATTGGCAGAAAATTGATCTGCATGTCCTAGACCAATGTTCAGAAGGTGTTTTGTGGTTTAGGGAGCCCAGCCCATCATCCCTCTTCCCTTTGGCACTCATGAGAGAAATGCCAAGTTCAGTGTGAATTTTTCTTGGTGCTGTATGGAGAAATGGAGTCTGTGTGCTTACTGAAGAGTCCCAAAAGGCAGGGACCGTTTTCATGATTGCCATCATAAATATTCGCTACCCGCAAGATGCTTGTGTACAGGGCTACTTGGGAAATTCAACTGTTGGAGGAGGCAGGGGCTGAAGGTGTCAAAACCACCTCAATTAGATAACCACATTCTCCCCTTTGTAGCATCCCATCTCTCACCAGTGTTTCCCATGGTCTTTATGCTTCCAGAGTTAACAGCAACTCCATTTTGCCTTGAATTCCCTCAGTCTTATAGATTAAAAATGTGCATTTTTAAATAAAATACATACTTTTAATCTATATATAGCTCCATATATATAGTGCATACTTTTAATCTCTATATGGCAGCATTTTTGAGGTTTTATATCTGCTGATGTACCCTCAACTGCCTCCTTTTTGCCGAGAATGATGCCCACAAGAACTGGTCTAAGAACACGGTCTGCACATGATTTATGCTTAAAATCCAAGATATCACCCCATATGGAAGGTTGAGATTTACGGAGTCCTTCTTGATTTCTGAGCTGAAACCTTTACAAATAGGAAATTTGGCAGGGAAGACACCTGGGTTTTAAATTCAGAATCCTATTTATATACTGTTAAAATTTGAGGTACTGTAGTTTATATAAAAGTCAGATGTTTAGATATTATGTTTCAGTACTAGGAGCTTCTTTGCAGCCATTAACATGACAAATTAAGTAATAAATATAAAAGTGATTGTCCGTAAATTATCATTGAATTTTTTGTTTATTTTGTAGTGTTTCTGTATTTATCTGCACTTTGTGTATATAAACACACATATGTATGCCAACGTGTAAATAACCTCATGTTTATTCCTAATCTAAATTGCCACAATATTTTAAATATATGGTTACACTGTGTTTTAAATTACTTTAAAAATAAACTTTGTAAGCACATTTTAATTTAGTCTTTGTACTTGACGACCCACTGTGTTGGAAGGCAATTGTCTTGGCTTCATGTAGAGGAAAACCAGGGTTTCTGGTACTGTGAGTGATCACTTGGTATGGCTAAATCATAGCAGAATTTGGTGACCTTCTCCTGACAAATTGGTATTATGCAAGCTTTGGAAAATGTTAATGTTGATAACCTATTAATAATGCAGGTATCCACAGAGGAGGGGGGAAATGGGCCACATGCAAAATACTAAATATAACAGGCATGCAAGCTTACCTGAAATACATGTTTGTGGAAGTTCACAAGTGTACTAGGAAAGAAATATCAGCATGCACATACTGTCAATTTTTATTAGTTTTGTGATCCTCTTGGTCACTACTTGACTTCTACATAAAAACTTTGCTCCCTCAAAAAAAGAGAATCATGTATTTATTTTGCACTGCTCCATAGATCATTAGAGTACAGAAGATCACCTTATCAGAACTGAGCCTCACAAGTTGACCGTTGGACAACCTGGCTTGCTCACATAGGTTGTAGTTTTCATCAGTATCAAAGGGAAAGAGATAAATTCATGACACAACACCTGTTAAGATATAAGGATTAATGTTAACTCCAGTATAATTAAGCAGGAAAAGACTATTAGGTTAGATTAGAGATTATTGCAGATGAGCTGCTATTTAAGAATGTTGGGTTTATTAGCCTAGAATCCCTTATAACTGATATTTTAGAAATAAAAACGAATTAGATTCCAGTGGCCAAAGCTAGAATGATTTGAGCAACAAAATAATGCAGTATTGAATGATTGGCTTATAAAACAAAATATAAAATGAATATCCATGAATCCACACAGATATAAATGACAATAAATTTCACTTATGTAAAAAAATGGAGAGGAGACAAATCTTTTGAAAAATATTCCAAATCATAATTGTAGTTATAGTTGGTCTTCCATCTAGCAGGTAGAATTTAAATCTCTCCTGCTTAAAGGTGAGCTAGACTTAGTAACTTAGTTCCAAAATACAGAGTATGGAAAACTGCCCTAACTTTGCAGAAAAGAAACTTAGTAGCCACTGTCTTAATCAAGTGGTAAAACTTAACGTCAGTGATACTGGGTAGTTGACTTTGACCCCATAATACATGATGTGAAGAGCACTCTACATCTGTAGTATTATTTCCCCAAACCCGTAATTCCAGTGTAACCACTGGAAAAACCAGACAACCCAGAATGCAGACATTCTACAGAATAGATCTGGGCCCTGTACTCTTCAAGACTAGAGCCTATGAAAAATAGGTAAATATGGAGCAGATGTCACAGATCAAAGTATACTCAGGAGACAGGGCAACTAAATACAATGTGAAACCCTGGTTTGGATCCAGGAACAGAAAGAAGACAATAATAGCCTGGTGAGGTGAGTCGCGCCTGTAATTCTAGCACTTTGGGAGACAGAGGCAGACGGATCACCTGAGGTCAAAAGCTCAAGACCAGCCTGGCCAACATGGTGAAACCCATCTCTACTAAAAATACAGAATTAGCTGGGCGTGGTGTTGGGTGCCTGTAACCCAGCTACACAGGAGGCTGAGGAGGCTGAGGCAGGAGAATCACTTGAAGCCAGGAGGCGGAGGTTGCAGTGAGCCAAGAGCACACCATTGCACTCCAGCCTATGCAAAAAGAGCAAAACTCTGTCTCAAAAAAAATAATAATAATAATAATAATAGATAAGCTGGTGATGCCCAAATAAGATCTAAGCTTTAGTTAATAGTTTAAAAATAAGATAACAAAAACTAAGCAAAAAATAATGCATGAGCTAGGGATACTTAGATCATTTTTGCGATTTTAGTGACTTATTCAAGAATTAAACATTTTCACTTTTTTCCCCCATTACATTTTGATCTGTGTGTGCAAGATACATCTCCTATTCATAACTCAATCTCCGACTTTAGAACAGATCAGGGCATAAGCCCCTTTCATTTAATGAAGAAATTCATTAGCAAGGGAGCAATCATTGTAAACCCTTTAAGAATTTAAAGAATATGGTTGTGGGCTTGTGTTTTTGTGTCTGTGTCAATTCTCCCAAGAACAGTGGAATTATTCTTAAACATCCATGAATACATGGATCTACCCTGGAGTTATTTATATGTCAATGGGATAAACATCCCCTATACACATGAATATGTCTTAAGGGCAGAGAACAGATTTTCTTCTCATTACTAGCCCTATCAACACTTGATTGAGAGAAAAAATTGGGGGATGATGTTGAAGAACTAGATTTTCTAAACCATTAAAAATACTCCAGATTTGGAAAAGTAAGCTATATTAACCTTAAGTTGAAGTTTTTGAGCCGAATAAATTTCCTAACTTTGAAATTGTGTACAGCCCCAAACTGAGAAGACAAAATTCTTTTCAACTTTCTAACATGACAGCAACTATTGGGGGCGGGGGGCTGTAGGTAAGAACATGGCTTCTAGATAAGAAGATTTGCTGGGGGACGCGCACCCCTAAAGTATTGGTTGATATGCTCGCAAATGCTGATTCTGGGTGTCTGGGGTAAATGAACCAAGCACAGCATTCAGCTAGACTCTACTTGTTGGTAGAAATTAGTTATCTGGAATATTCTACCTTTCCAAATGCCAGAAGCCAGTCTGCTAAAAAGGATTCTCTGGATTAGCCGCGGCTAGAGAGAGGAAAAAAAATAAAGTATATTTCTAATCCACATAGATTTTTGTATTCATATCATCACCTATTTACAGACTTTTTTTTTTTTTTCAAAGAATGGGTCATAAGTTACCTTGCAATTGCTCAATTCAAAAGATTTTTGTGTTCATCTCGTCACCTATTTAAAGACTTTTTTTTTTTTTTTCAAAGAATGGGTCATAAGTTACCTTGCAATTGCCCAATTCAAATGGCTTTCAAACATTTTTGGAGCAACTGGAGCAGAATTGTTTTCTTTGAATAAATCTTACTTGGAACTCGATATGTTAAAAATATGAGTCAAGCTGCTAGCCTGAGTGCCTACGTATGTGCTGAAGAATGCCTTCCCTTCACCCACACCCACACAGGTCCACAACTACTGCTTTTTTTTTTTTTTTTTTTTTTTTTTTTTGAGACAGAGTTTTACTCTGTCACCCAGGCTGGAGTGCAGTAGCATGGTGCTGGCTCACTGCAACCTCTGCCTTACGGCTTCAAGCAATTTTCATGCCTCAGCCCCCTTTCCTGAACACCTGGGATTACAGGTGTGCACCACTATACCCAGCTACTTTTGTATGTTTAGTAGAGATGAGATTTCACCATGTTGGCCAGGCTGGTCTTGAACTTCTGACCTCAAGTGATCCACCTGCCTCCGCCTCTCAAAGTGCTGGGATTTCAGGCATCTGCCGTTGTGCCCGGCCAGGTCCACAGCTTCTGGCCTCTCTAGGAAACCCTTAGAGCTTTTCAGAGCAAGGTTACCAAATAATTTAGTGCAAGCCTCTCATTGTGCTAGTTAGGAAGCTGAGACCCAATTAACATAGTTAATGCTGAAATGGTGGGCTCTCATCTCCTCTATAATGTGCTACCGATTTCTGGATGTGTGGAGAGAGCAGTTTCTATTAGGGTTTAATCTTTGAAAAGTTTATCTGGAAAGGATATCTTTCGATAAAGGATAGCTTTTCTAGAGAATACACACAGAACAGGAACGCAAAAGGTAAGTTAGCCCCCCTCACCTTAGAAGAAATTTTTTGGGGATGGGTAACATAAAAATTTGTAAAAATATATGAAAGGTCTATCCCAGTGCCTTCCAACTAAAAGATGTTACTGGATAACAAATTGTTATTGAGGACTTAGGAGTTTGTGCAATTTTCTGATGCAAATGCTAACAGAACAAGTGAAATTTTAAGCTTTATTGAAAGAAGTTAAATAATGGGTTCAGTGTATTCAATACATAGCCATCAATCAGCTGCTTCCCATACCCTGTCACAGCATCCTCTAATCCTCCCAACTACCAGACACCATCAATGGATGTCTTTTCTGGTCTTTTATTTTGGAACCAAAACTAAGGCTCTGGCAGGTGAATTTATCTGGCTTATTCAGTGTCATATCATTGGTATATAGCATCGCTTCTCGGCCTTTTGGCTAAGATCAAGTGTGGGGTATATGGCAGAGGTTAGACTCAAACCCAGGTATTCTGGCTTAAAACTCTTTTCATTGAACCGCCTCTTTACTACCAAGTGGAGCATGGTAAGCTTTGGCTACCAGACTTGAAAGAAATATTCGGCAAACTCAACCTTGTCCAGAAGAAATATGAAGATGGTGAAGAAACTGAAGCCTTATTGCATGAAAATGTATTAGACCTGAGCATCACTACTCAGAGTGAATTTTAGACCTCTTAAAACCTGTTTAGTTGCGGAATCTCAGACTTTCTGAATCAGAATCTGCATTTTAACAGCTCCCCAGATGATTTGTACAATGAGGTTTGAGAAGCACAGGTTTAGCAGAACTATGAACGCGTTATTTGGGGCTGAGGACAATTTAGACACAGATCAAGTCTTTTCTTGCCCTCAAACATCACAAAGCCCAAGATAAACGGGAGAAGTCATAAATATTGAGATTTGGTTTCAAAAACATAATTTTATTGCCAAATCTTCTACAAATGGAACTCAGGAAAGAGCTTTAAATCACAGGGAGTCAGAGTGGGCCTAGATGACCGTTTGTCAAGAGTTTCATGGAACACAAAAGTTCAGTAGACATTTGAACACATGAAAATTGTTGAGCAGGACCTATTCAAGGCACTGGAGATCCCAAGTAAGTTATATTTCCTCTTTTTAAGAGAGCCATGGTTTATTGGGGTAACATTTAAAGATCAATGAAATATAATGCTATAAAATGCTCAAAAGATTAAGTATTGAGTGTCTAGGAACCTGAGATAGGGCACTATTCTGAACCTGAAAAATGGCAGAACTGATGGAAAAGGTAAGTAGGATATAGAAAAAGAAATATGGATAATTTTAGCTGAGTAGATGATGTTACCAGCCA